TTGAAATCATCATATAAATACTCTCCACTATTATAACTTACTTGACTTCAAGCACTTCACCTTCAAAGTTGTTTCATCTTCCACCATGGATTTCCATCTCTTGAATGAATTAAAGACATCAGATTTATTCATTACAAAATAATCTTATACCTTCTTACTTAAGTTACCAATAAATGTCACATAATAATTGGAACCTCCAAAGAAAGTAACAGTTGAAGATCCCCTACATATCCGCATGAATCAACTTTAATTTTGTAGATTTTGGACCCCTTTTGATTTTAGAGGAATCCTCAAACTGACATCATCAATACCAACAATATCCATATGTTCTCCATCAGCAATATATGCATTTCCATAATTCCCAGTAACATAGTTCTCCAAAATTTAAGGATATATAGTGGTGTAAAAAGAAGCTCCTAAATCCATCACCCAAAAATCTATAAGATTATCAACCAATAAGAGTAAAGCATTTTGGACCTCTTTAGTCACCGCATTAGCACTATTGTTATTCTTTTCTTCCATCTTCTTTGGTGCTCTATAATTATTCTTCATGTGGCCAGTCTTGTCACAGTAGCAACATTCCATGTTATTGAATTTTTCTAGAAACCCCTATCCCTATTCTCAACATTTAGTGTGGAATTTGATATTGTGACTTATTACTTAAGTTCTCAAAACCCTCACCTCAAGAACCCTATAAACTTATCAAGAACCATATATATTCAATTTGCAACTAACCAGTAACCACACACTATCGTGTCTCTATAGTGCAGATTCTGGCGGTGTGAAAATCAAACTCAGCAATCAGAAGGTGAAAAATTAGTAAAAGATTGGAATTATAAAGAGGGAAAGACAAGATTACAACCACCTCAATCTGCATAATTATAAGACCTAGCAAAAAAATTCAGCACACATACCCGAAGCAAAAGTTGCAGAACCAAATGCAAAACGAGGGGGAAAATCTGGGCAATTAAACAACGCGTAATCTTGCTTAGAGTGTAATTGCCAACTTGACCATTGACTGGAGATTTTTCGGTGCTGGTGTCGATGCTCGATATTGAGAGAGAGAGAGAGAGGACGCGAGATTGACAGGGACGAGGGATTGAGAGGGAATGAGTTATATGCAACAATAAGTTCCCTAATTTCATAAGGATTGGGCTTGTGTTTGGCAGGTTTTAATTTTACTTTGTGTTGGGTAGGCTATTACGTCATGCGTCTATAACGACGTTCACAATGCATGCCGTAAAAGGTGTAATTTATAACGGCGTTCATGACGCACACTGTAAAAATGTGTAATTCTAGACTATTTACGGTCCTACATGTATGCCATAAATACTTTAAGCATTTAATTAATTACGGCACACATTTGCCGAACACCGTAAAAGGATACTTTTCACGACGTGCATAAAATGCATGCCATAAATCAATGCCGTAAAAAACCACTTTTGTTGTAGTGTCACTTTCTCTTATTTACCTGTTTACAAAAAAAGAAAGTTAGTAGGAATATTCAAGATTCAATAATATTAAGGAATTATTGAATTTATTTTGTGGTATTACCTTGGTGCCTGCATTAGCTGTATTTACTTAGAAGGTATTTTAGTCAACTTAATGCCACATGATTGAGTTATGTCTTTAATGAATCAAAACTCATCATCTATATGTTTAGTCATGTCATATAAAATTGAACTTTTACTTAAAAAAATATCACTTTGATTATTAAAACACATCTCCACCTGATTTTCTATAAAACCTAACTCATTTAGTAATCCCTTTAGCCAAAGACCTTCTTTAACTGACGTAGTAGCAACTATATATTGAGGTAACTAATTTTCGTAGTTATGATTTCCAACTAATGCATGTATTATTTATCACATAAAAATATACAGTTGTTGATTTTCTATTATCAGCATTTTCAGCAATATCAGAGTCAACATACTCTTTCAGGTTAAAACTATTTTACCATTTTTAAACATAAGACCTGAGTTCTGAGTACCTTTCAATTATTTAATCAAATGTTTCATGGCTTTCCAAGGAAAGTCACCTCGATTAGTTGTGAATATGCTTAACACACTTACTGCATATGCAAGATCAGATGTATAGCATGCCATAACATACATAACATATTTAACTTCGTTAGCATAAGGTACATTTACCATTCTCTTAAATTTATCTTCAATTTTAGGTGATTGATCAACAAGGATAATTTCACACAGGCAAATATATGCAAGCTAACAAGTTAGAATCATGTAGAGAGAATCTTTTAACTACCTTTCCAATATAAGACTCTCGTGTTAAAAAAAAAAAAATTATTAATCCTATCGCTTTTTATTTCAATACCTAAAATTTTTCTAGTAGGTCTCAAATCTTTCATCTCAAATTTAGTTTTCAATTTCGCTTTTATAGACATAAGAGCAACGGAATTGTGACTGGCTAGAAGCATATCATCCACGTATATGAGCAAATACAAAAACTCAGAATTTCCATCTCTTTTGAAACAAAATAGGGATCATATTCAGATTTATTACACTTTAAGCCTTGGATGAAAGAATCAAATCTTTTATACCATTGCCTTAGAACCTGTTTCAAGCCATGCAGAGATTTATTCAAAAGGCACATTAAGTTTTTCTTCTTATTTTCAAAATGTTTTGGTTGAGTATATATATAGTTTCATCTTATGAACCCAATAAAATGCAGTTTTCTCATCACGTTGTTCTAATTCTAAGTCAAATTGTGTCACAAGAGCAAATGAAATTTCGGTAGAAGTATATTTCACAATATGTGAAAATATAATCTGCCTCTTCTCTTTGTGTAAACCTTTAGCTACAATTATTGCCTTACATCTTTTGTCGTCTGACTTTTTATTGCCTTCCTTGTAGACCAATTTACAACTAACAAGTTTACAGTCAGTAGGCTTTTCAATTGGATTCCACATTTAATTTTTATATAATGAAATCATTTCATCTTGCACTATAGCAACCCATCTAATCAACTCTTTACACGATACAAGCTATGCAGATACATAATATGCATATTGGAATCTAGAAGAAGGTCTTATCTGGCCTCTTTCCCTATCCCTGACAAGCTGGTAATCCTACAGATTATGTGAAGGATCTAAAACTTGATTATCATTTAGATTTTCATCATCATTAATTGTTTGAGGTCGCTTCACCTCAACCTGAGTTTGATTACTATTAATTTGTTCATTAAAATCAACCAAGTGATAACAAAATCTTTTTTGGCTAATTCCTCTCTATTTTTGTCACTAAGACAAGGGAAGTTTGTCTCATTAAAAATGACAGATCTACTTATCATCACTTTATAACCTCTATGGTCTTTTATTAACAATTTGTACCCTTTAACACCTTCTCGTTAACCAAAAAACCAAATTTCTTCGATTTGGGATCCAATTTAGAATCAATTTGGTGTGCATAAGCTGCACGACCAAAAGTTTTGAGATGAGAATAATCAGGCATTAATTCGTGGCCATATCTTTTCAAATACCATATAATCTATGGAGCTAGTGGGACATCTGTTTATTAGATAAACAAGCAATCTTCACAACTTTTCCTAAAATATTTTTTAGCAAATCAAACTAATTAATATGCATCTAGTTCGCTCAAGGATGGTCCTATTCATCCTCATAGCATTTTGCTGAGTGGCATATGTCACAATCATGTACCTTAATATGCCATGTTTGTTGTAATACCAATCAAATTTAGTATTGCAGAATTCAATCCCATTATTAGCCCTTAAAATTTTTATCTTCTTATTAGTTTGATTCTCTAAGGATCATCAAACAGATTTTAATAGAAAAATTCACACTTTCCTAGAGTAATCATCTATGACAAGTAAACAATATCTATAGCCAAATGCTACAAATACAGAAGCAGGTCCGCACAAGTCACTCTGTATGTACTCAAATACATTTATTGACTTATGGATGCCTATTTTGAATGAATACCTGTTTTGTTTTCCCACAATACAAAGTTAATAGAAAGTTGGTTTCTGAACATTCTCTTTTTCCCAAGACCCCTTCCTTTGAAGGAAATTTTAAGCCATTTTTACCTAGATTACCTATTCTTTAATGCCATAAATCCAATCTATCAGACTGCACCACTAAGTTTATGGCATTGTTGAATAGATTCAAAATTCATTATATAGATTCCATAAGATTTAGGTGCATTGACAATAAAGTTTTGCTTTCTAGATATAATTGTATAGCTATTCTTAATCTCAATTTGATAAATTTCATCATCCAAAACCCCTAAGGAAGTGAGATTTCTTCTAAGTACCGGAACATACATGTTATGCTATAGCAACATGAACAAACCATTTTTCCGTTTCAAGGCAATGTTGCCCATATCTTTTACTTGGCAAGATTCATTGCTTCGTAATTAACTTTGCAAAACCTCCATCAAATCTAGAGAAATCAGAAAATCAACTAATATTAGGACTTATAGGAAAGAGCAGTCTGAACCAAGAAACCCATCTTGATCAACATTTCCAGAAGAGGACTCATAAGCAATCACAATATTGACTCCTTTTTTTTTTGGTAGGAAGCAGTAATACGAGCCATTTTCATTATTAGATTCATTTCTTTGATCATTTTCCGAAGTTAAAATGGCCTTTTATAAAATGATCTATTTTTCACAATAATATCACTTCTTATTCTTTGCATTTCCCTTATAAACTTTCTTGTCTTCTCTTTTACTATTCCTCCATTTCTGCTTACTGGAATTCTAATTTATGTATACAATTAGCTCGACTGAAACTACTCAACCCCTGGGTTGAAATTTTAAATTATATGATGAATAATCAACATCAAGTTGTTCTCTATGTTCTTATTTTAATTCCAATTCCTTGTTCTTTAATGAACTATGAATGATATCAACAATCATGTCATCCCTACCATATTCTAATGCATTCGTTATGCCTTTATATTTTTTACCAAGAGAATTAAGTAGGCCAACTACCTTTTCATAATCAGAGATATTCTTTCAATCGCGCTACGCGTACATTCCTCTTGACCACTCGGTTGATAGTGTTGATGTGGCATTTAACAAATGCTCATTTAAAAAACTAGAAAGGGGGAAGTGACAAAAACCGATCCATTCATTTCAACTTCAAATAGCGTAAATCGGATGAAAGGATTTTCCCCAAATTGAGCAAAGAAACCCTCTTGGAGAGCCATTTTTTCTGAGGCGGAGCCATTTGTTAACTGGTCGCGTGTATTGAACTTCTTCAACCCCGACATCTGTTGCAAACTGTTGGTAAGTTGTTTGTTTTGCTAAGTTGAGAGGGGATTGAAATAGTAGAAAAAATATGGAAGAACAATGAAGTGAAAATCTTACCATTGTGTTGGTGGTGTAGAAAATCAATATTGGTGGGTTTCTTCTGTGAAGGGTAATGGTATGTTAAATCTGAAAATGAGCTTCAAATTTGGTGGGTTTCATTGGTTAATTTTTTCTTATATGTAAGTTATTTGTTTTGCAAAACGCCATTATGTTAATAGAGTTGAGAACGGTGGAAGAAGTAGAATGATATGGAAGAACAATGAATTGAAAATGTTACCACTGTGTTGGTGGTGTATAAAATCAATATTGGTGGGTTTCGTTTATGAAGGGCAATGGTATGTTGAATCTGAAAATGACCTTCAAATTTGGTGGGTTTTATTGGTTAATTTTTTCTTATTGGAAATGGGGCTTGTTCATGTGAAAATGAGCTTCGAAAGATGATTGCTTCATTTGAAGTTCAGAAAATATGGTAATTAGCTTCATTCACTCTTCAAGAGTCTAAGTCGACTGTTGCTCATCCTCATATGTTACGAACTGGGAACGATTAACATTTTTGAATTTGACTGCAAAATTGTGTATCGTAACTGCATTCTTACCTTCATTTGTTTTATTGCATATGCATTTTTGTTGCTAATTTTTTTGTTGATCCCCATCTTAGAATGGCAAGAAAGAATCGTGGCATATGCCACAGTTGTAGGTCTACAGATCACTTGTTTGCGGATTGCCCAAACAAGCAAGTATGTACGTGGTGTCAACATGCATTCATTAAGTGCTTTGAGGTGGAGAAGGCGCTGAAGAACAAAGGTAAGTTGTTCAAATGTTGTGAAGCTGACTGTGGATACTGGAAGTGGCTTGGGGACGGTGAATCCAGCGGCAACTCAAGTACGAGCATAGTTAAGGCGACTACTCCTACGATGAAGGAAGCAATCCGAGATGTATCTGACATGTTGGAATCTCTACTTCAGTTAAACGATGAACAAGAAGTGAATATTTCTTTGAATCTTACAATCCACAAAGGTAAAGCAAGCAGCAAAGGGGATGAGAAAAGAAAGGAAAGAGTCCGGCTTGATTATAATGTATAAATCGAGCATGTTGTGTAACTTATGCTAGTATGTGGATTGTGTAAGTTGTATTTTAACGCTATGTACGCTGTGGTCTATAAATGTACCCCCTGTTTTATTAAACTTGTTGTTCCATACATACTCCTTGTTCACAAATAACATATATAGACATGATGCTCAAATGAGGTGATATGAGTGACTATAGAATACAGTAAATAACATATAACAAGGAAAGTTTGAAATTCATTACATTATGTATAACAACCTTAGCAAAACAAGTGGCATCTAATAAGAGAATGAAATCATCCAAAACTCATCATCTGCAGCCATGCATCTTCATCCCAACCTCAGTAAGTTATCCAGTCAAACATTTCCCTTTGGTCTCTTTCATTTCAATACATTCAAATGTGCCTGCAAGATTGATGAACAACTGAGAATATTCCAAATATCAAAATGTTTCATTAAAGACAACAAGCCTAAACATACCTTCCCATTAGTCGATTTCGATGCGCTCTTCTTTTGAAGTTTTTTGGTGCGCATTTTCTCTTCAAACAGGTAGGGTCCTGTATGTTGTCACCGCTTGGAGTCTATACTGATCTACAATCAACCACTATTTGAACAACATGCGGGCATAGGACATTGCTTCTATCACTCGACCTCGTACTCATAGAGGTGGTTGTTTCCTTTTCAATCCACTCCATTATTGAACAGGTTTCCTCATCATCATCTGTGGTCATGTTCGCTAGTGTAGCAAATGATTTGCACATTATGTAGTGTACTAACCAACCAATCGTAATGCACTGCAACCCTCATATAGGCTCTACTCACATCTCTCCCTCATCTGCATAATATATACCTATCCGACAATATCATTACATCATTATGGAACAAGACTGATATAGCATGTCTTCAAACAATTTCTCGAAATTTGAACAAGTGATAGCTACACACTACGTCACATGTATCTCTTTGGAATGTGACGTAAAATGCCTTTTTCATTCTATACTCGCCATTTTTGACATGCTCCCACACTTTGTATATAGTCCCTAAACATTGTTCTGAAGTAGAAATGAGATCGCAGTATACCTTCACAATGAACTCTTGCTGAACTTCCCTGAATTTTGAAATTGTATAAATTGCCTAAAATTGCTTCTCCATCTCGTAAGTCATTGCACAAGGTACAATTTGTGAGTATGATTTGAAATTTACTTGAAACTCTTTCTCTACCTTACTTTTCAATGCTCGCTCATACTTGCCCAAAAACATGTTTTCAAATAACAAGGAACCCAATGGTTCTATTTGCATACAAACCGGACAACCAATCATTCTCATGCAAGTTGTATGTATCGATCATCATTGTCCAACCTTCTTCAAATTGTTCAATAGTTTGACAATCATAAACCAATATGTGCATAGCAGAGGATATAGAACCTTTATCAATATGGTATCCGAACTTCTTAGGCAACTTCTTCAATATGTACCACAAGCACCATCTATGTTTTGTGTTTGGAAACTGTTGCGGAAGGGAAACACAATATGAATTACATTCTGCATAGCCCTATGCTGATCCATAATTATCCCAGAAGATGATTGGCCCTGCATGCACTGTAGCCATGTTTTGAAAAGCCACACAAAAGTCTCTGAATTTTCATTTGAAGCCAAACCACAACCAAGCAACGTCGATTGTCCATGATGATTCGCTCCAACAAAAGGGGCAAATGGCATATCATACTTTTTTGTAAGGTACGTGGTATCGAAAGTGACAACATCGCCAAACTCCTCATATGCTTGCCTACACATGTTATTCGCCCAAAAAAAAAAAATCTCCAGACATAACTCGTCGTCCAAATCCATGCTAAAGTAAAAACTTGAGAATCTTGCTTGCATACTTGAAAAGTAGGACTGTATCGCTGCGGCATCCCCTTCTCCAAGTTTTAAATGCCTCACTTTTTTCACATGGTTTCTATAATCTTTTTCTATGCATGTCATATTCTTGTACCCACCCGCTTTAACAACTACAGAATTGTAACTTTTATGCAAAGGGATTCTTGCTGTACCGTTCACTTCAAGCCACCGTTTAACATGTGCACTCAACTCTTGATTGTAGCGATGCAACCTAAATTTTGAAGGACTTGTTTTATGATTGTGTTCAAGATAAACTGTGTTAACTCTCTATATTCCACACATATCTGAAGACGCCGTTAGCCTGGCCTTACAACCTATCTGAATGGTTGGTTACGATTTTGAAGAAACATTTGTATTACTAATTCTTCGGCCTTCGCGACTACAAGTCAATGTCATGTATCTCACAACCCCATCATCTTCCTTTTTTGAATTCCTTTTTCTAACGGGGAATCCTATAACATAAGCATATTGTTTATAGAAATCAAACAATTCTTTTTCGTTAGTGAAATTCATACCCACCTCTGGTACCATTGCCGCAAGATCCACGCCTACAATTTCATCATCCATCATATTCAATTTGTCCATAAAGTTCCCATTATCAGATTCGATCAAAATTTTGTCATCAACCACTTCAATAATTAGTTTCTCTGCAACAAAGAAAAAAACAATTATTAGGTCTCCAATTTATATTCGCACAAGCTTATTTATTGAACAATGAGGTGGAATCACTAATTGACTAAACATTTTAGTCATTGTCCAAGAATTTTGGGGTTTCGACCTAGTAGTAAGCTGACATTACAACTTCTTAGTTTCATAATATTAAAACTTCTTAGGTTAAACTTGCTACTGATTTCATGATTTCAACAATTTCAACTTCCAAAGCTTTATTTGTTGACAAATTCAATTTACACAATTTTATAAATCGAAAATACCTCTATCTAACATTTTTACACCTGATGAATATGGGTCAGCTTCTTTGTTGTTTCGAGACAAGTTTGGGTCAACTTTTTTCTCGTTGATCCGAGTGTCACAAACAAAATGAACTCATGGTTTGGGTGGAACCCCCTGGTGTTCGAGCATACTACAAGTGTGTCATTCGTGTAGAATGTATAGTGGGCTACCCTCTTGTCGGCGGTGGTCGATGCACGGGAGAAGAACTGAAGAACATGGGATTTCTAGGGCACGCTAGTTGGAATTGAAGTGAAATGGTTTTTACCTGGGCCAATTTGAAACAATAGCTAAAAACCTGATTTCTTTTTTGGCATTTGTAGACCGCGTTTACTGGTTTTTATGGTTTTCAAATTGCTTGCCACATCAACCACTGTGGGCCTTCTGTCAAATTGGTGGTAGGTCTTAATGTACAAGAAGCTTAATAAATATTCTTTTTACCATAGTTCATAAGATCTCGTGTGAACTTATAAAATTTATCCATGTTTTCTTCTAAGTTTGCAATAGGATCAAATTTGTGACTAAAGAATTGTTTCCATAAGAAGCACTTTCAATAGCAATCTTATTTTCTTCTACTTCAAAATCATATAGATGGAGAAACATAGTGCTCCAAGCCAACATATCTTGTTAAGTTTTCCTTTTAGCCACAAGCTTTTCTAAAGAAGATTTATCAATGGCCATAGCATAATATGAGTTTTAAATTTATAACCCAACTCTAATAAATAACAGCTATCACACAACAACAGATTATGACTTTTTAAGAAGAATATGCAATAGATCACTTATGGATATCATTGGACTGAACCTTACTTCCATTATATTCTAGGGTTCTCTCAGAGATCCCAAGAAAAAGGTAAATATAGGGAATTTCCAGAAATCCTCTAAAGGTTGTGGCCGTATGTTCTTGAAAACAAGATTTAAAAGACCGGGTTAAGAAAATCTATTTCCAAAGTTGCAGGTGCAAAATAAGTTCTCAAAAAAATAGATTTCAAGTTCAAATCAACGGGTTTCTTAACTAGAAAATTTAAAAATCTTTTAAGATATGATGCTTTAATGGAAGAATCAAGAGTCAAAGAACTAGATCATTAAAAAAAAAATTGAGAGTCAAAATAAAGATTTCAAATACCACTTTTAGTCCTTGTTTTGTGACAAAAGAAGAACAATAAAGAAAACATCAAGAATCCAAAAGAGCACAAAAAAATTTCAGTCAAAGGCCCTTAAGATGCAACAACCACTTTTATGCCTAATCTCCCACTGAGCATCTGTTAGTATTGAACTCAAATTCACTATAAAGTCCCAAAATGGGCAAAGCTTCAATTACAAACAACGGGGTTTACAAGTCTAATCCTTAAATCTTTCTCTTTTACAAAATAACTACTCATAAAGAAGGTATTACCTTTATCTCTCTCTTTCTCACAATACAACATCTCACACAGAAATCACCAAGAACATCCAAAGGATTACCAAAATAAAGCTAGAGAGCAAAATACATGAAGAAGAGAAAGAGACTGAATTGATCTGAAATCCTCTTGTGCTTATTTGTATAAAATAAGGAAATATTGCTCATCCAACTGTGCAAATGAATCCAAGTGTCAGTTGTCTAGAAGAATTGCATTTTAATTTGAAGGTCATCAATAAATCACGTTTTTACAAATCTGGAATTTTCAATAGCTAGATCACAATTTGGGCCGGTAATTAACCCTTCAAGGCCATAGTAATTTGGGCTATTAAATTTCTGCAACATAGCCCACAACACTGATTTCAAAAATCAGGTTTTATCTATACATAATTCAAAATTTAGGTTACAAGTTTCATTAATGCAAAAATCAGGTTTTAACTAACTAATTAAGTCACAGCTATACGATTAATGATCACAGATTTACAATTATAGGTCATTGATTTATTTATTGGTCACTTATCATCAAATTAATTGGTCACAATTTTTTTCGAGGTCACAGATCAAATTTTGTTAGGTTACATGTTATTTTGAGGTCAAAAATCAAAAGATTATAGATCACAACAAATCCAAAAAATCATATGCCACAGGTCACATATTTTAAAATTTGATGGCCACATATGACTTTTTTAGTTACAAAATGATCAAATTTCAAGGTGATAGATTAATAATCAGTCACAGAAAGACCAAATAGTTGGTCACGGACACACAACACCCCATCTCGATCCACACAATACTTGGTTACAACACCATCACAGCCGCAACCACCGCCACCACCTAGTCACGTCGATTGCAGTGTCTTTCTAACCAAATCGCAATTTTTCTCGCAATAGCGATAGAGAGAAGGAAAGAGGTGGGACGAACGGCTTCTTCACATATCAGGTGCAACGCCACCAACCACGTACATCCACCATCAGAAAATCGTCACCTGTACTATATCACCACTCAACCGTCACCACCCATAGATCCGCCACGCCACAACAGCACCAATCACCACCAACAACAAAAAGACCACCAAAAGGGACTCGAAAACAACAAGTCACCTACCAAGGTCAACAACACCACTCACATCGCCATCCTCGTCAACAATCCCAAAGCCCCCAACCAGTCAACAGTCTCACAAATTTTGGCAGTATCTGCTCCGTGTAACACTCCTGTATGCGCTGCAAGTAGTCGTGTGCTGGCATCATCACTCATTCTCGTGACTATGGATGGTGCTCAATGCTACGCGACGGAGGAATTTTATTTTCACTGCAAGGCGCAACTGCTAGCATTTCTACCTTAATAAGCCAGTGAAAGATCATTACTATAATTTTGACGTTGGTCTCTAGCAGTGGGCGGGGACAATGGAGATGTTGGTTGAGTAGGGAAAGAGGAGAGAAACAGATGTAAATTCTAGGGTTTAGAATAAAATCGGGATGAAATTGGGTTGAATTATTTTATATTATTATTATTAATACTAATAATTAAATCAGTACTTAGAATTTTGAATAAAAAAGTTTCCTACATGATTTTTGCATTCTAATCTTTAAATGCCTGAAAATCTTGTAATTTTTTGTAAAATAGTAGCTTCTGATGAAATGAATTGGATCTCCATTGTTGGTCAAGAGATAATTTTTGTCATTGTTTTTATGATAACTTAGTATTTGTCTTGATGCTGAGGTGGATTAATATAATATTAAAATAGATAAAGATTATTCTTTAACGATTGGTATTGCCCAATCTTTAAATAAAATGAATTTAGTTAATTTTCATGGGTGTTAAAAATGTAAATATAGATTGATAAATTTCTCCTCTCTTAAAATTTCAACTTTTAGATGAAATTGGTCAATATTTGAGTTCTGCACCATAAATATTTTCATGGAAGAAACTTGCATTAAAATATTGCAAATAAAATCGGGATATTTAACAATGTTATTTTTTTATTTTCCTATTTTCCATATCTTATATCAACTATATAATTGTAAAACTTATTCCTATTTAATCAAGACTTGTTCAAGCCAAATGAAGTTTAAAGAAACATTCGTGCCCTCCAGTAGCACAAGGCGTTTCTGCTATTCCGATGAATAAATGCTACCTGCAAAATGATGTTGGGGTCTTTCTCCAAGTTGTATATAAGACGTGAGAATTAGTAATGGACTGGGGAATGTAGACTTAGGAAGAAAAGGTAAAATGTGTATTCAGATATTTAAAAATTTGAAAGACATACCTGTCTAGCCTTAGGAGTATTTATAGGCAGCTAAGGCCAAGTAACTGCTGGGCAGTTATCATGTCACGTGTTCCACTTAGCACTTCTCACTACCTCCTATGTTCTGGGTAAGGGACCTCTACCTATCAAGCTATTGGTTGTGTTCATGTTAATCGTAGAATGGCCCCCATCCAACTTAAGGATGTTTTTATGGTCAAGTGTGATGTTGGCATCATAGTGGCAGACGACTAAGCTTCAACGTAAAGGACCTAATAGTGGTCGATAGTCCGGTGTGGACTTAAAGGGCCTCATAGTAGTCGAAGGCCCGTTGTGGACTTAGAGGGCCTCACGGTGGTCGACGGTCAAGCAAGATGTAGAGAGCCTAATAGTGGTCAACATGCTCAATATGGATGTAGAGGGCCTCATAATGGTCAACGTCCCAATGTGGAAGTAGAGGGCCTCATAGTGGTCGACGGCCTAGCGTGGATGTAGACAGCCTCATAGTGGTAGACGACCGAACATGGGGTGCTCTATATGGAGTGCTTATTGAGTAGTTTTCACCTTGTTGGCCATTGAAAATAGCTATTGGTATAATCTAATATCAATAACCATTCTACCTGTTGTCAATGTTTATCGTTAAGGAGTAGCATCTTCATTTCTCTACGTTGATTTTAATTTTTTATTTTTAAGCTAACTCATCTCATATTGACATTTGGTATAATATAGGTTGCTTGAGTTGTCCAAGTGGCAATGTGTAGTGGCAACACAGTACAAATAGCACCCCATGAGAGGGTTTGTTTTAGGGAGAAAAATTTTCTCCAAACAATTCAAAATCTATATCTATAAAAAGGGATGAGTCTTCCTTTATTTTTATTTCTCATCTGACAAAACTTTTGGGTTTTTCAATAATCAAGGTAATTTTCTCATCCAATCTTCATTTATCCTAGCTTTTTAACTTGTCCTTTCTCCCATCATAGGTAAAACTATCTTAACTTCTTCCTTCAATAAAAGTGAAAGTGAGATGGTGGGCATGTCTATCAACCCATCACTAGATGGGCGAGTAGCCAGTTAGCTGACAAGCAAAACTGGTAAAATTCGACTAACATCGTAGAACAGCCATGAGGTTGTTCGACGGGTTGGTCGTCCATCAACCAGCCCTACCAATAGCCTCCTCATGGGATCGATCCATTCTTTGATTCTGATAACCTGGCTCATTTTATCGAACCTCATGTATTCTAACCAAGTTATCCCAAATATATATTGGTACAACTAAGTCATTGAACTAAAATTTGGAAATTGGTCAGGATCCGGCTGGCGAGGTGGTTGTTCTTGAAATTCTAAAATGCTATAGCC